AAAAAAAGAAGAAGAAGAAAATAAATAATTCGCAGGACAAAACTATTATAAAGTAATTACTTTTCAAAATTAAATCTGTAATTTTTTTTTTAGATTAAAAAAATGCTTATGGGTCAATTATCTAAACTCTGATTTGTAGGGTCCAAATTTTTTGAATTGACCAAAGAATGAAGTCTACGCATTATAAGTAATTTGTTGTTTGGTCGGTCCTCTTAGATCCTATTTTGCTCCTCTAAGCTCTCTCACCATCCACGTCTCGTACGCACATGGCGAAAACCACTAAAAATCCCTTAATTAGATTAAAGAAGGAAGCCTTGGATTGGGAAGGACAATAATCTGAAAAAACATAGAGAAAAAAAAAAAAGACATTAAGTTTTGTAGCAACTAAAGGAGAAGAATGCCCTTCTCCTCCTACGTTGGTAACATCCTCCGTGCCGGAGGAGGCAACTGGCCCCAGTCGCTCCTCCCGTCATCGGCCAAACCGAAGCCCGTCAATAGGAAATCACGAAAACGAACGACCCTCGTCAACTTTCTTTTCGCTAACTTCTTCACCATTGCTCTCTCAGTCTCTCTTCTCTTCCTTCTTCTCACAATCTTCCATTTCGGGGTCCCCAAACCCATCTCCTTCCATTTTGCTAGAGACCAATCTACTCGCTATCTTAGGTCCCGAAAGCCTATATCGAGATTCAAAAATGCCACATCTTCTGGCGCCCTTGTAGATATAACCACTAAGGACTTATACGACAAAATTCAATTCTTGGACTTGGATGGTGGACCATGGAAGCAAGGATGGAGAGTAAATTACAAAGGAGATGAGTGGGATACTGAGAAGCTCAAGGTATCAGAGGTGTAAATTAATTTATTAGTTGTTGTGTTTTTTGTTAATTAGTTTACCATTTATAAATACTTGTTGTATCTGATTAATTAGTAATTAATATGAATAATTATTTTTTTTCTCACTCTGTAATATGATGTTAAAGCAAATATTCTTTGCTCCTTGTCTCATAATTTCCTACTCACTCTCTTTCCTCATTAACTCCTAAAAAGAATTTTGATTAAAGAACTCTGATTTTTTATTTCTTGAAGTTTTCTTTTCTTCAAATATTAAAGAAAACTTTCTTTCTTAGCTTCAAAAAAGAAAACACCATCAACAATCCAACAAGTAATTTTTTCTCATATTATTTAGATAGTCCTGACTTAATGTCAGTGTTTCAGTAACTTAGCAGAGATCATTATTCTTCCTAAAATAAAGTGTTGACGATGTACTTTTATTAAAAAATAAGATAGAATTTATTGATGGATCTATTATAAAGCTTGATTTTTTTAATCAAAATCTTCTTGATTTATGAATTGCAACAATAATAGAATAACTTCCTGGATTCCAAAATGTGTCAAAAAAATTTAACAAGTATTATATTCTCTGAGTCCGCATTTTAAATTTAGATAGATTTTCGTGACTACTTCTAACAAAGTAATTGTACAATAATTTTTCAATGTAGAAGATACCTTGTTAACCATGTGCATAATCAAAATTCTATAAGTTTATATTTTACCAAGTTTAAAGCTATTTAGAAAGAACCGGATAATTCTTAACTTGAAATGCTCATGTGGAGGCATTAATGAACTGAATAGTTATTTTTGGAGAGAGTATGTTTTGTCTTTTCTCATGGGATTGAATAATAATTTTTTTTTTTTTTATATAAGAGAATAAATCATTCTTATGAATTTATTATTTTTTAATAATAAGAAGATGATGATTGGTATGGTTTATTAGTGAAATGACCTCTATA